TGAACTGTGAGATCATGACCTGAGCCAAAGTTGGATGCTTAACAGAATAAGCCACCCAGGTGCCCCTAAATTTACTTCTGAGTTATTAACAACTATAGAAAAGAAATATGAAAAAGTATATTTACTTTTAATCAATTATTTTAATCAGGTAATTTACTTTTAATCAAGAGTCGGACTCATCCTGAGTCACAGAATCAGAATAATGCTGTAGGGGAGGAATAATTTCTCTTTCCCTTCTTAGGGTCTCTGGTTGGGCCTATGAATTTCACTGACAGAAGACAGATTAACAGGAGAAAACGTGCATGTTTTAATTACATCTTTTTTACACGTATCTGGGAGTCTTCACATGAAAAGTAAAGACCTAAAGAATCAAGTTGAATGCTTGTATACTGAATTGGACAAAGAATACTAAATTTTGCAAATGTGACTAGGCAAAGGGGCTTTGGCTGGAGCCATTAAGTGAGTGACGTGATATGGGGTTAGGTTAACAAGGTTTGTTTGTACAGGTTGATCTTGGCCTTGACCTCGTGTCCTTGGTGGCAAGAATTTCTCTTTCCTTCTGATGTAGGGAGGATATCTTTCACGAGGGAATTTTCTCTCCTGCTTTTAAGAAAAAAGAAGGAAAATCAGAATGTCCTTCTTGCAGGTGCTATTTTTCAAATGCTTTTAACGCAGCATAGTCAGTATGCCACAGCAACATGTTTTGAGGTTCTGTGTTCTGAACTCCTTCAATGCAATCAGTAGGTACTGATTTAACCAACTAGATCACTGACTATATTTTGAGGATGAGAGTGGGTGGTGTTGGGGCAAGACATTTAAAACATTGATTACCATAATAGTAAGTACATACCATTAAAAATAGCAATACAGGGGTGCCTGGGTGGCTCAGTCAGTTAAGTGTCTGACCCTTGATCTCAGCTCAGGTCATGATCTCATGGTTCGTGTGATCGAGTCCCCTCATTGGGTTCTATGCTAACAATGCAGAGTCTGCTTGGGGGCTCTCCCTCCCTCTCTCTCTGCCCTTCCCCTGCTCACTCTCTCTCTCAAAATAAATAAACTAAAAAAAAAAAAGTATACAAATATATTAGAAATCTGAAGGTTAATACTAGAAGAGACAGTTAAAAGAATTATCGCTGATTTAAAAATAATACTGATTTTAAAAATATTGGTTAAGAGAACGGGATGTTAGGCTTTTAGAGATACTATAAAACAAACGACCTTCAGTTATGCATGGTGTTAATCATAGTACCATTTTAAATGTGCCTCTGAATTGTTTGATGACAGCTACTAGGTACTTACTTTAGAGACCATAACATTTTTGCTATCTAGAAATTGATGAGTTCTTGGTTACATGACACAAGTGCTGCCCAAATACACATATCTATCTACCATGGATCATTTTTTTTAAGTGTTTATTTACTTATTCTGAGAAAGAGAGTGAGCGCACACATGCACGTACAAATTGGGGAGGAGTAGAGAGAGAGGGACAGAATCCCAAGAAGGCTCTGCACTGACATCATGGAGCCTAATGCAGGGCTCTATCACAAACCGTGAGATCATGACCTGAGCCTAAATCAAGAGTCGGGTGTTCACCTGACTGAGGCACCCAGGTGCCCCATGGATCAATTTTTGTACAATTTATCATTTGCTGTTTGAAATTATTAGGGAGGAAAATATTTTTCTGTATCATCTTAATTTTAAGTTTATTTATTCTGACAGAGACGGCATGAGTGGGGGAGGGGCTATGAAAGTGGGAATGAGAGAGAGAGAGAGAGAGAGGGAATCCCAAGCAGGCTCTGAGCTGCCAGCACAGAGCTGGACATGGGGCTCAAACTCACAAAGCTGTGAGATCACAATCTGAGCTGAAACCAAGAGTCAGTTGCTTAACCAACTGAGCCACCCAAGCACCCCTTCCTGTATCCTCTTAGATTTTGTACTTGAGGGCTTGCAATTTTAATGGACAACAGACAGCTTAGCAAGAGGGAAAAACAAATGTAATATGTACATATGCACAGGAGTTCACAAAGAAATGTGACTCAAGGATGTAGTTAGATTTTGGAGTTTATATACCATCTTAATAGGTAATGGGGAGGTGTAGAGGGGCACTTATGGGAGAACAGAGGACTTCTAGGAAAAATGAATGGGCCCTTAGGAGAATAGATGGGATATATGATAGTTTTATAACAATGTCTCTTGAGGTGATTTCTTATCCAGTGTTGACTTGTGCTGACTTCTTGTCTTTATAAGAGTTAATCTTCCCCTGTGGTGAAACTCCTTGGGAGGAGATTCAGGACAGTTGAATTCTTTTGGGAAGCTTTGCTTTTAGGAAAATAAGGGGAATGGAGAGAAAGCCTCTTCCCACATCCATTGATTTTCAAAATGTCTTTAGTTCACAATAATCCTTATGCCACTGTGGCATCGTCTCGACCCTTTCAAAATTAATAATAAAAAATTTGGAGTACCTGGGTGGCTCAGTCGATTGGATGGCTGACTCTTGATTTTAGCTCAGGTCATGATTCTCAGGGTCATGAGATCAAGCCCTGCATTGGGCTCCGTGCTGGAGCCTGCTTAAGATATTCTCTCTCTCTCTCTTTCTCCCTCTGCCCCTCTCCCCGACTTATATGCTCACTCTCTTTCTAAAATAAATAAATAAATAAATAAATAAATAAATAATGATAAAAAAGTAACATACAAATATGTTTAAGTTGCCTGTATATGAATAATAAATTCTAGAAAGATATACAAGAAACTCTTAATAGTGGTTACTTCTAAGGAGGAAGGATCTGAGCCTTTAGGGGAAAGGAATGGGATATAAATTTTTCACTGTTTTATATATATAGTCAATCTTCATTATTCATGGACTTCATAACAGTGAAAT